GCGGATCTTAACCAAAACTTAAAACAGAAGCAATATTGTAACAAATCCGATAAAGACTTTAAAAATGATCCACACACAACACACAAAAGTCTTTTTTAAAAAAAGTAAGAATAATTTATCATCAGTCACAGTTGTTTTAAGTATCTGTTGCTTAATAGTTCGCATTTGGGCTCAATGTTGAAGGAAGACCCGGAGTGCCTCTGAAGGCACACAGGGACGCAGGGTGGGGGGAGGGATGGGTGGGCGGAAGAACTAGAAAGAGGAACAAGCAGCATTTCTTCATCATCCAACCATCTTTTCACTTAAGAAGCAGCTATTGAGCCACTGAGTATCTTTTGTATGTAGGCCTGAAAAGATTTGGGCAAGCATCCCACAGAGCAGGGGCCCAGAGGATGTATCTAAATGCAGCTGGGGGCAGGTTTCCTGGAGCTTCGAGGGGTGGAGGTGAATTGCTAGCACGCTGGGCAGCATTTGGGAAGCGCAGCCTGCCACTCAGCCCCCACCTCGGGCCCTGGATGGGCCAGCAGGCGGGGCAGTGAGGGATGGCTGAGGACAAAGTCCTCTTGTCTCAACAAAAGCTCAGTTGCAGGAGAGATGAGGAAAGAGGCAGCCGTGGCAGGAGAAACCGTTTCAGCACTGTACAAGAGAGTAAAAAAGAGGCCGGGGACTCCTCTTGTCTCAACAAAAGCTCAGTTGCAGGAGAGATGAGGAAAGAGGCAGCCGTGGCAGGAGAAACCGTTTCAGCACTGTACAAGAGAGTAAAAAAGAGGCCGGGGACCCAGTTCTAATCTCTAGGAAGACACTCTTTGAATTACACCGAACCTCCCTTCTGAGATGACTGCGGCTTCTTTGTGATCATCTCTGACTCGGGCTCTCTTCTCAGGGTCTGTGCAGATCCCAGAAGCTTGCTGATATTATCCAGGCTTTGAATTTAAAAACAGGTGAAGGAAAAATAAAAATAAAATAAAATAAAAACAGGTGCAGGAACTGATGCAGACAGTCATTGCCACCTAAGGCTGATTGGAGCTTTGGGCACAAAGATGGGCTCTTCCTGGGATTTAGCAATTCCTTAACTGGTGACAAACCAGGGCAGCTTTGAGCCAGAATGTAGCCCCCAGACTACATCGCATCACCCACCACGCCAGCTCCCTTCTCTCACCTTGTCACAGACCAAAAGAACCCTCCTTGATAAGCCAGATTTGTGGTGAATAACGTCTAAGGCATTGTTGTTGCTCAACTTTGTGATGATTGCAAGTCCCCGATGTGTCATTATGACTTTGTAACAACACGCTACAATAGTGCTGTGTGGGTCCACCTGGATGGCGCCAAATGTATTCTTTTAACTTCCCTAACTCAAGATTTTTTTTACACTCTGACCAGAAACTGATTTGTTTAGACTGAGTCTTTTTTGTTTGTTTGTTTGTTTTGGGTTTTATTGGTTTGACAAACTTCTGACTTTAGTTTGCTTATTTGAAAAAAGCCAAAACCTAATTGTTCCTACCTACTTCTCAGAGGTGTCATAGGGATTAACATAATGTGAGTATAAGTACTTTAATAAGTATTATTATTTGAAAATCCCTTGCAGATGTTAGCACATGATTTGCTGAAACAGTAGACTCTCGTAAGGCCTGCAGACCATAAACCACAATCCCCTGAATCCTACAGGTCTGTAACCCACGCTGTAGAATTATACAGTAAGAACTTGAGAATCAGAAATGACCAGATGTTAACATGGGCCCAGAGTCCTACAGTGAGTGAAGGCATACCTTTATGTGTCTAGCCTCAGTGATTCTGTAAAGAGTTTATCCCCCACAGGGGAAACACAACTGACTGATTCTCCCTTTGCGTGAGGATCCCAGTGGGTGGACACCAGGGGTTTTTTCTCAAGTTCCGCTAAAAACCTCTCCCCAAAAAGCTGTCCATTCATGACAAATACTATGAGTTCCCTACCGTCTGCAAAATGCAGCAAACACATCAACGGCATTTGCAGGCTGTCTGATATTAGAAGAATGGATAGAAACTTCTCTTTTCCTTAGCGGTGTTCACTTAAACTCCCAAACTCAGCCTCTAAGATGTATGTGACCTCTTTGACTGCAAGAAGAGTATGATAATCTAGCCATGTGCAGATTTTTCAAAAGCTTAGAATATCGATTTTTTTTCATTAAAAATACACAGTGTGATAAACTTTGTTCATCTACAGTGGTGATATCTCCACTAAGAGAGCAGTCATCATTCTCGTCTCCTCCAGAAGTTTGTCCCTGTGCAATCTCCCATCTCTTCCCTAGGCAACTAACTACTGGGAGAAAATTGACTTTTAAATGACTTATAGTTTAGTTCTCTTGGGTTTTCTTTTATTACTGGAATCAGACTCATCATGTATTATTTCTGTATAAAGACTTGTAAATTCCAAGTCCCAGGAGGAAAAGCCCTTTAAACAGTTCTGTTTAGACTCATCATCATCTCTTTATATTCTCTGAATCATCATCTCTTTAGTCTCTTCCAAGGCTAACAGGCCTTCAGCGGATTACAGGAAAGGGAGCTGGTTTCTCCAAGCACAAGGGTTCCTTCAACACTTTAGGAGCCCAGCTGAAAGCAAAATGTCAATAAAGGTGAAGGGCTGTTGTCCCTGAAATTCTCAAAGAAAGTTGCTTTTTGTTTCCTTGGCTGCCCTCTAGTGGACAATGATGCAGGGTCATTAAAACATACTGCATCTTGGGTCATGACTCAGAAGATAGATCTGCCTGTCTTTAAAACAAAAGCTAGACAGACAGTTATTTAAAGAAATACTACTCCAAGCATGAGGAAACTATCCTTACTTATAATTCATATTTGGATCCCAAAGTGTCATTCCCTTTCCTGTTTCCTCGTCTACAATCCTTTCCGTGAAAAAATAAGGGATTCAATTATTACCTATCAAATTCGCTCTGACACTGAGCATTAGGACTAGGCTAAAAGGATGAATAAGATAAGGTCCCTGCCTTCCCTGGAGGATTGACATGAACTCAAATAATGAGCAATGTGACGAGTGCTTAAAAGTAGAATAGACAAGTCTGTGTCTGTTTTGTGGGTAAGTTCATTTCTGTTGCCTTTTAGATTCCACACATAAGTGATGTCATATGGCATTTGCCTTTCTCTGTCTGACTTACTTCACTCAATATGCTCATCTCTACATCCATCCATGTTGCTTCAAATGGCCTTATTACAGCTGAGTAGTATTCCATGGTGTATATTTACCACATCGTCTTAAGCAACAAAGTCCTATTGTAGAGCAAGGAGACTATGTTCAAGAGGCTGTGATAAACCATAATGGGAAAGATTATAAAAAAGAATGCGTAAATGTATAACTGAATCGCTTTGCTGTATAGAAGTGAATGCATTGTAAACCAACTATACTTCAGTAAAAACAAAAAATTGTTTAGACAGTAGACAAAAATATACATATTAAAAAATCATTAAGGACACAGGAGGAAAGAAAGTCTGCTGTAATCGTCAAAAGAGCTCTGGTGGAGTCTTGCGAGATGGGTGGAAGTTCTCCAGGCAGACCAGAGAGGGAAAGTGTGTAAGAGAGATGAGAGGCTGTGTGTTGAAGAATACTGAGAAATAGTATCAGGAAGATAGCCAGGAGCTAGGTCAGGAAGGGCCTTTGGAGGCTGCATTCATTAGCTATTCCTGCAACAAACAGCCTCGAACCCTCAGTAGCACCCAATAAATATCACTGATTTTTCCCGCGTGACTGAAGGGGGCTGGGCTAACTGTCCTCCTTGTCTCCCAGCCTCTCTTGGACCCCTCCTGGGACCAGCTGGGCTAGCCCTCGGGGTGTTCTTGTCCTGTTATTGGCAGAGCGCGGGAGGAAAAGCAGAAACACGGGAGGTCTCTCGAGGCCATACTCAGAACTCACCTGCTCTCTTCCCTGGATTCTCTTGGCCAAAGCAAGTCACTGGCCAGACCCAAGTCAGAGGCCGGAAAACATCCTGTGAGGTTACATGTCAAAGGACTCAAATGTGCAGAGAGTAGGAATTAGGGCCAGTAACTGCACCTGCCACAATTTCTATCTTGGAAATGCTGGGTTTGAGGTACTCACTCAATTCTTTACAATGTGGTTGGGAACTGTAGCTCAAAATACAGGTCTGCTGTGTAGGAATGGAGTCTGGATGAGAGTGGATACACGTACGTTCGTGCTGATTCACTTTGCCATACAGCAGAAACTCACGCAGCATTGTGAATCAACTAGAATTCAGTTAAAAGGTTAATTAAAATGTTAAAAGTAGAGCATTTTCATTGGAAAAAAAAAAAATAGAGGTCTGGCTTTGAGTGATGGATCCAGGAGTCTCAAGACCCCAAACACCAGACTTGTGGATCCCCTCCCATGCCAACTGGTCCCGAATCTCTATGGGTGAGACTAGTGTTAACTAGTTCCCCAGACAATGTTTCCTATTCTCTGAAGTCTGAGCCCCACTAGTAGATAAATGGCATGAAAATGACACTGCTTTACTCCAGAATGTGGCCTCCGCGCCGCATCCATTCACCCACTTTCCAAAGCTCAGACGTGAGACCCCTGCCGGCCAAACATGCTGCCAAACATGCTGCCACTCCTGCAAACCCAGCTAAACTCTCCCCAGGCTGGTGAGTGTTAGATAATGACCTCTCCAGGCTAATTTTAACCTGGTAACAAATCTTCAGCCTAAGAAATGCATTTCCTGCGTTTCTTCAATCTCTAAGGAGAGCGGAGGAAGAGCCTGTGAAACCATGTATTAATATCTCCACTAGAGGTTTGTTCTCCCTGCTTAGAAACCCAACCTCTCATCTTGTCAGAGTTAAATTTTACTAAGAAATAGACTGCTCTCTCCCCTCCAGTTCTCTGATTCCATCTTCAGTCTCTGAAAGTTCAGGCCCTAGCCGGAATGTAAAATATCTGACTTCTACTCTGTAATTAAGGGAAAAAGAAAAAAGAAGGAAGAAAAACCCTTTCATGACTCCAATTTTTTTTGTACTATTTAAAGACATGCAAAGCCTAGAGAAGCTCCTGAGAGATGCTGTCATCTACGGCCAGCCTCGAACCCGCAGAGCTTGGAGAAAGATTCTCATCCTAGTGGAGGGCATCTACAGGTAGGTAAATAACCAGAGACCTGTTCACATACTGAGGCGCAGAGTGAGCTGACAAGTGGGGCAAGGCTGACCTCTCCTAGTGAAAGAGACCAATGAATGAGATAGAGGGGGTATGAGGGGACCTGGGCCAAAACCACCAATGTGAACTGTCAGGGGCTGGCTCACCTGACTTGTCCATGACCATACATACGGCGGAGCACCTCAGAGGCTGGAGTCCCAGAGAAATGTCCTGACTAACGGTGCTGGCTTGCATTGATTCCTCCCACTACCCTTGGCTGCCCCACAGTTTCAAAGACCTCTGGGACTGAGTTATTCAACATCAGAACACTCTTTGCCTTTATGACAAAGGCAGGAAGGTAAGTACCGCTGATGGGAGCTCAGCTGCCCCATATTCAACAGCGCACCCAAACTCTAGTTACTCCTTGAAGTTGGCCAGCTGTTGGCATCCAAACACAAAAGGCCTGCACATTTTCCTCAAGGTAAGACTAACCTGGAACGCAGTTCTGGATTCGGAGCTGGGACGAGCAGGAGATGGTTTTTGCATCTGAAGACATGTTCAGCCTTCTTTCAGCTTGAGGGCTGAGCATACAAAACATCCACTAAGCTGGTCAGAACTGCACTTTCATATTGAGGGTTGCAATTGAATTTGCTTCATTCTCCAAATTGATGATTGTTAATAAAGTCGAAATTGCCCCAAACTCGGCTTCTGTCAGATGCCCTAATCCATGAGACAAGGAAGTTGCTCATTGCTAAATCAATGCTCAATCCTAAAGTCAGAAGAATCTAGGGTGATATTTCCTATGACATAATTGTGGAAAGATGAACAATATTACAAGGAAGGGGGTGAGGGCTTAACTGCCCAGCAAGAGGGAACGTGTTTGTGACGGAAGTCTGAGATCGGGAGCAGAATTTCTTTCAGTTCCCAAGGGCACCACCCAAGCATATCTGTCAGCTTCTCGTTCTCACAACCACAACAGAGTGCTGCTGGCCCCAGGTGGGCAGAGGCCAGGGGTGATGCTAGCCCTCTTACAGCGCATGGGGTGGGCCCTGCAACAAAGAGTTATCTGGCTCAACATGGCAACAGTACCGAGGGCGAGAAGCCCTGCTATAGACTAATGTGACCAACCACAGGCCCAGAACTTGCGACTTTTAGGAAATAATCTCAATTAGTCTCTCAGCTGTCACGACCTCCAGCTTGGGTCTTTCTCCCTGTGAGATCTGTGCCAGATGCCAGCCTGGGAGGGGAGCCCTTATCTAAGCACCTGTCAGTCAGGCCTGGAGCGGTGGGAAGGCGGATCAGCTGAGTCAGAGAGATGGGCATCTCCCTGAAGCAGAGTAAACAGAACCCAACCGCAAACAAACGAACTCAGCTCCACTAAAAGCAAGTTGTGTGTTCTAAGTACTTTGATCATGGCTAAATTAAGTGGAGCACCGGCATTTCACTGTCAAATAGCCCCATCAGTTACACAAAGAAACCCCTCTGATAATGGCTATGCTGGGGCTGGGTCCTACCTGATAAAAGGACAGGGAAACCAGAAGGGGACTTCAGTTCCAACATAAGGTGACCCCAAACCACAGCTTAGGTTTCACTAGCAATGGTGACCGCCCAGTGACCCACTGCTGTGAAGCAAGCCACCTCAAAGCACAGTGGCTTACCCAGCAGTGAGTTATTATTTTCCATGCCATGCCATGGTGGGTTATCTGGGCCAGTAAGGGGGCTCTGCTCCATGTGACATTGGTTGGGGTCATTCAAGGGACTGCATCCAATGAGGTGTTCAGTTGGGGAGAGAACATCCAAAATTACCTCACTCATGCATTTGAGCTCTGGCAGCTGGGTGTTGAGTGAACTGATTTATTCTCTCCACTTCTCTGGGGCACTTTGTCTATATGTAGGCTTTATTGATCAGCAGTCCAGCGAGAGCTTCCTTACAACGTGGTGGCTGGCCTCCAAGAGAATGAAAGGAGACGCCAATCTTTTAAGTGCTGGGCCCACAACTGGCTCAGCATCATTCTACTGGTCCAAGCATGTCACAAGTCCAGATCCAAGGGGAGGAGAAAAGGAACCCACCTTTTCATTGGAGGATTGGCTTGTGTATATAGAGGGGGGAAGACTTACAGGCAATACCACAGCAGCTCCTTCAACCCGACATGTATACAGAGAGACGCCTTCCCTGTCCATGGACTTGCCTTCTCAGAGATGTTCTTTTTGTCTCACGGGCACAAGGGTTGTCGTCTTTGAGTGAGACTGTGATCTAAAAAGATGCATTCATAAATAGGGAGAAGGGTCCTTCTCAGACAGGCCTCAGTACCTCCTGGGACCTCCTGGGCTGGCCAGGAGAAGAGTTCTGGAACATAGGGACGTTTTCCTTTGTTGTTTCTCCAGAAAATGAAATTATTTCCCACGAGATTTTTTTCCAAAAGTCCAGGGCTAGGGGTGCAAAATCAGCAATCGACAAATACACTGCTACTTTCCAGAAATGTACCTTGTTAACCTCCACACGAATCTTCCTTGGAGTTTCCACTCTCAGATCATTTTTGTCTCAGTGTGTGGTTTGCCCCTCTGGGCAAAGTCCCTCTACCACAGACAGCTCACATAAACCAATTTTTTCAAAAGTCCCAAAAACAGTAGTCAGCCAAACTCAAGGTACGTATCAAGGGAGAAAAGGCTAGATACCAAATCCTAGAAGTCAATAAACTCCACAACAGCAGGTATAATAATAACAGTAGTAATAGTAGTAGCAATGACACTATCACCATCCATAGATCATGTAACTATTAATATTTATATAGAGAAGAAGGGGAGTCAGGACTTGGAGGGAGGCCTGGACATGGGCACACATCCTGTGTTGCTGCCTATAGCTATGTGTCCTTCATAGAATTCCTTTGTAAAAATTAAATGAGATCATACACGCCAGTGCTTGGCAGAAGCCCAGCCCATAGTAAACCCACAACCAATGGTAGCAGTCCTCATCACTAACTTTATTTTCAGTTGAGGAAGTCACAGTTCAGAAAACAGTAAGTCATCTGCATGGCGAAGCTGTCTGACACCTGGAGGATGCGTGTCGGAAGACAAAGTATGCATTTATCAAGCGCCTTCGCGTTGACACATTAAACATGTCATTTGTGCCATCTTGAGTAAGTACCTCCAGGACTCTGGAGGTTATTGTGAGGATGGAGGCATTCAGGTTCCAAGATCTAGATAACTTGCCCCAGGGAAGGTAACTTAGATAAAGCAGAACTGGGATTCAAACCAGGTGGCTCTGCTGGGATAGAGACCCAATGTAAACACAAGAGTCTGCCCATGCGCCCGCATCCGATGAAGTAAACATGGAAAATGCAAAGGCATCCATTTGACCTTCCTCATCAACCCGTCTAGGACTTAGTTTCTTCATCTGTAAAATAGGGAGATTGAAGCTTGAAGTCTACAGTTCCATGGTTTGGGGGTCAGAGGCACAGCAGTATTATTTTGGTGTTCTCATCTGCATTTTCCTTTGCTTTAAAGTCATACTCTTCTAGTTTTGTGTTTCTGGGAAGCCTAATGTAGTCAATTCATGGTGGTTGAGGAGCTTTAGAATCATTCAAATATACACTAGAGATGGGGAAAGTGAAAAGTGTTAGTCACTGAGTCATGTCCAACTCTCTGTGACCCCATGGACTATAGCCTGCCAGGCTCCTCTGTCCATGGAATTCTCCAGGCAAGAATACTGGAGCGGGTATCCATTCCCTTCTCCAGGGGATCTTCTGACCCAGGGATCTACCTGGTCTCCTGCACTGTGGGCAGTTTCTTACTGCCTGAGACACCAGGGAAGCCCTAGAAATGGGAGGTGGGTACAAAATAACCTGGGATATAAACTAGTGTAGCTGGAGCCCAAACTTTCAAAATAAAATTAATCAAGAAATACTATCTAATTGTATCCAAAACTACATATATAAACAAATGTTGGAATCTCAGCATGCCATTGTCTCTAAGAATGTAAGCCATTTTCCTGACCCAAATAATGTAAGTTTAAGAACTGAGAACTTCAGTAGTAAAGTCTAACCTATATCCCTATGAATAAAGACAAAGGAAAAGAAAACAGTAGTTACTTGATTTTTAATTAACCTTGGCTCCTTTTTTTTCCTCCTCTCTTTCCACCTTCTTTCTTCTCTTGGATTATATTCTGGGCCCACCAAGATTTTTCCACCATGTAAATTGGCAAACCAGTGGCTTAATTCCCAGTTATGCCAGTGGGTAATATGGTTTAAACACAGAGGAGAAGGTATGTGAGAAGGAGATCTCAAAAAGGAGTCTTGTCACTTAGCTAATACATTATGTAATAGAGATTACATAAAAAGAGATTATTCACTGGCTTACTGGTTTAAGAATAATGCAAATCCCTGCTCAGAGATTTCAATTAATGAGTGAAATTATTTTTACCTACAGTTGTATTTTAGTTTTTTCTTTCCCCCTCTATTGAAGCCAAAAGAAAACATGACTTTCCACTCAAGAAGAAAATACTGTTGTTGGGTTTGTTTGTTTGTTTGTTTTTCATCATTTTTGGCACAATATTCTTTGACAGCAATTTTAATAACATAGATAGCCTTTTCATGTACAAACCAAACTCAATATACCACTATGGGGAAAGATTTGATTCAAATTTTGTCACATTGAGAAAATGAAAACTTAGTGTGGATAAATGTCGCTCTTTATAAAAACTGAGTTTTGCAAGACAGAAAAAGAGACACAGATGTATAGAACAGACTTTTGGACTCTCTAGAACTCCTGTGTGCCCTGCATTAACTCCTGGAACCAGCAGTATTGCTGAGTCATTAATCTTTGATGAAGAAATATAAGCCAGATGGGCAGACTCCTAACATCAGCCAGACCAGTGCCAGCAAAGACGGCTAATTAGCTGCCTAGAGTGTCTGCAAACTGTTCAGCGTGAACTCTGGCTCCTGCCAAACTCAGTTCCAGAACAAAAAATGGCTATTTGTGACATGTCAGGTTTCTAGCACGTTTGTGTTACCAACTTAGAATATTTTAAAAGGTAAGAAGAAGGTTCTAGAATTTTGAGGGCATCCATTCATGTATTGGGTATGACACCCATATGCCTCCTTCCTGAGAGATTCAACAGAGAGGGCTCCCAATTTCTCACATGAGGCCCCAGCGCTACCATGTCCTCCTGAGCTCCTCCTGAGGAAAGAACAACCCAGTGGGTGCCCGTGATGTGTCAGGCACTTTAGAAGTATTATTTCCGGTAATTCACATTGAGCATTTATGAGCAAGTGCTATCATCGTGTTAATTTTGCACCCAAGGAAACTGAGGCAGAGAGCAGCAACGCAGCTGCCTAAGTCCTGAATTAGTAAGTTATGTGGCTACCACCTCAGCTTATGGGGCAGAGGGCTGGACTCCCCTTCAACAGTAATAACTTTAACAAGCAATCACTCTAAGAAAATACTGGAATTAACTTGCAAACTTAAGTAAGAGAAGATGACTCTATGATCTTCGTGTTATTAAAATCTGAAAACATCCATTCAGAATGACCTTGTGAAAAGCACAAATAAGATGGACTTCATTAACATTAAGAACTTCAGCTCTGCAAGATAATATCTAGAGTGTGAGAAAGCAAGTCACAGACTGGGGAAATACTTGCAAAAGATCTGATAAAGCACTGCTATCTAAAAGATGCAAGGAGGAGAACCCTTAGAACTCAACAGTAAGAAAACAAACAACTGAATTTTAAAAATGGGCCAAAGACCTTAACGTACACCCTACCAAAGACAATGGACAGATGAAAATAAGCATGTGAAAGCCCGCTTCACATCATATGCCATCAGAGAAAATGCATGTTAAAACAATGAGACACCACTACACAGCTATTAGCAGGTCAAAATCTGGAACAAGGACAATAGTAAGTGCTGGTGAGAATGTGCGGGAACCCAGAGCTCTCATTCACTGGCGGTGGGAATGCAAAATGGTCCAGTCACTTTAGATGGCAGCTTTGTGGTTTCTTACCCACATACCTTTACCATACAATCCAGCAATCTTGCTCCTTGGTATTTACCCAAAGGAGCTGAAAACTTGTGTTCCCTCAGAACCCTGCACACAGATGTTTGTAGCATCTTTATGTATAATCGCCAAAACTTGGAAGCAACCAAAGCGTCTTTCAGTCAGCAAATGGATAAACGGTGGTGCATTTAGACAGTGGAATATTAGCACTAAAAGGAAATGAGCTATAGAGTCATAAAAAGACACAGAGAAAATCTAGATGCATACTACTCACTGAAAGAAGCCAATCTGAAAACATCACATAGTGTATGATTCCAACTACGTAATGTTCTGGAAAAGGCAGAACTATGAAAACAGCAAAAAGATCCCTGGATGCCAGGGGTTGGGTGGAGAGATGGAAAAACAGGTGAAGCACAGTGAATATTTTAGAGCAAAAAAAAAAATAGTATGTATTATACTATAATGACGGATACGTGCCATTATGCACTTGCCCAAACCCATAGAGTGTATGATGATGAATCTCAGCCTCTGTGCACTGGTGCTAAATTGAATCTCAGAGACAAAGTTTTGGATGGAACAGAAAGGAATAGCTCTATTGCTTTGCCAGGCAAAGTGGGACACAAGGGGATAAAGCCCTTAAAAGTCTGTGTCCCAGCCTGGGGGGATTTGGTGAGGAGTTTTACAGCAGTGGTTCCCAGGCAGGGTTCTGGGGGTCAGGGTATGTGTGCAGGGCCTGTATTCCTTTAATCTGGCCCCAGGTGGTCTCCTGATGAGGTCGTCAGTCACTCTGTGACCTCTGGAATGAAGACTGTCATCAAGTATTTGACATCCCCCATTTGGGGGTTTTAGTTCTGCAGAAGGGCTCAGAGACCCTGTGTGTATGTATCACTTGAGGCAGAACCAGGACCCTGCCCCAAGGCTTCTCTTCCCTGCACCCCTCCCTTCCCTGATTAGCAGCTGATGGGCTTCCTGGTGGCTCAGATGGCAAAGAATCTGCCTGCAACACAGGAGACCTGGGTTTGCTCCCTGGGTCGGGAAGATCCCCTGGAGAAGGGCATGGCAACCCACTCCAGTATGCTTGCCTGGAGAGTCCCGTGGACTGAGCAGCCTGGCGGGCTACAGCCCATGGGGTCACAAAGAGTCAGACACGACCCAGTGGCTAACACTTTGGAACTCAGGGAAAGTTATGAAGGCTGAAGCCTATTCTCTATAAACAAGAAACAGGGGACAGAAAGGCTATTGTGCCCAGGAGCCCCACAAGGCCCGGCTCAGTTTCATGAACAATACCAAGGGTGAACTCTAATATAAACTGCGGGCTTTAGATGGTGACGTGTCAGTGGAGGTCAACTGGCCGAAACAAATGTACCGCTTTGGTAGGTGGTGTTGACAAGGGAGGAGCTTATGACTATGTGAGGCAGACGGCATAGGGGAAAACTCTGTACCCTCTGCCCAGTTTTGCTGTGAACTTAAAACTGCTCTGAAAAATAAAATCCTTTTAAAAAAAAAAAAAAGTGAGGCTTCCCTGGTGGCTCAGTGGTAAAGAATCTGCCTGCCAATGCAGGAGACTTGGGCTCGATCCTTGATCCCAGAAGATCCGACACACCACAGGGCAACTAAGCCCATGCACCCCAACTACTGAGCCCAGGTCCCACAAGCACTGCAGCCGTCAAGGCCTCGAGCCGCTGCTGCACAACAGAAGCCGGTTCAGTGAGACAGCTGCACCCCGCAAGCAGAGCAAAGCCCAGGCGGCAGTGAAGACCCCGCGCGGCCAAAGTTAGATAAATAATAGATGATTCTTTAAAAAGATCATCCAGTACCCACGGGTCTAGGGTGACTACCCAACAGCTGGACTGTTTTGACTGAATGGACCTAACACTTAAGCTATTTTCTTAATACGTTAAATTTAATAAATAAACTAAGAAGAAGAGACGTTCAACTCTCCGTTTGCATCAGTTGACTAGTTCCTGAACTAAACTGATGGGTTGCTTGAATTGTTTGACAAGCTCCTTCATGGGGGTGAGAGTGTGAGTCTGATTTCATAGAACTTAGCTGTCAGCACAGTCAAAACTGTGTGGGAAAACACAGCTCACAAGATGTCCTGAGAACATCAATTCCTTTAAATCCATTGGGTTCCAGAGGTGCCATGTAAATACTGAATGCTCCTTTTACTTGCTTATTTACCTCCTGTCTTTCCCTTTGCTGGAGAACTTAAAGTGATTTTGCAATTTAAAATCCCAAGGAAATTCACCAAATTACAAACTGCTGTGAAAAGTTAAGCACTTAAGGCTAAAACAAAAGTTGATCTATAGCAATGGTTCTCAAGTGTTGTCTGCAACCAGAAATCCTGGAATCTCTCAGGAGCTTGCTAGAAACCCAAGTTCTCAACCCACCCCAGACCTCCGTTGGAAACTCTGGGTGGGGCCCAGAAACCTGTGTTGCAACAAACCATTCAAATGTAATAAAGTATTCAAAGGATTCCGGTGCTCACGCAAATGAGAAGCATTGCCCTAAAGGAAGAGAGGAGACACCAGCAGATGCCTCAAATAAGCCTTCAGATTCAGGAAGGACTCAACAGAAGAGCCTAAGGCCTTTCTCCTATGCTTTAGTGAACACTGTGATGTCTTAAGGGTAAAGATGTCTTCAAATTCATCTGTGTGTTTTTTATGTTTGTTTGTTGTTCCTTACGTTAGGCAGAATTGCCTTTCCCTGTAACTTCTGTGCTGATCTTTTTTTAAAAATAATTTTATTTATTTATGGCTGCGCTGGGTCTTCACTGCTTTTCACAGGCTTTCTCTCGTGGGTGGGCGGGAACTACTGCTTGTTGAGATGCAGGGGCTTCATTGAGGTAGCGTCTCTTGTTGCAGAGCAGAGGCTTCAGGAACTGCAGCACTGGCTCAGTATTTGTGGCACGGGGGTGTAGTTGCTCTGGAGCACATGAAATCTTCCCAGACCTGGGATCCAACCTGTATCTGCTGCCTTAGCAGCTGGATTCTCATCCACCATGCCATCCGGGAAGTCCCTTTTGTGTGTTTTTACTTCCTTCTTTTAATATTCAGCAATTCAAGCATTGAGTTAGGTCAGATGTGCTGCTAAGTCACTTCAGTCATGTCTGACTCTTGGCGACCCTGTGGACTATATATAATCTGCCAGGCTTCTCTGACAGTAGAATTCTCCAGGCAAGGATGCTGGAGGGGGTTCTGGCCAGGGATCTAACCCATGTCTCTTGAAAGTGAAAGAGACAGTCACTCAGTAGTGTCCGACTCTTTGCAACCCCATGGACTGTATGTAGCCCATCAGGCTCCTCTGTCCATGGGATTCTGCAGGCAAGACTACTGGAGTTGGTTGCCATTCCCTTCTCCAGGGGATCTTCCCGACCCAGGGATCGAACCCACATTGCCAACAAAGTCTTTACTGTCTGAGCCACAGGAAAGCCTTAATCCATGTCTCTCAATGTCTCCTGTATTGGCAGGCGGGTTCTTTACCACAAGCGCAACCTGGGAAGCCTGGCCAAATAAGACAGTAGCAGGCAGATATAGATGCCTTGACGTGGAGCAATTTCATTAAAATTATCAAAATACCTGGAATCCAGTGTGCTCAGTCTAGTTATGCTAGTTGACTTTACAAATAAGCTAATCAACAGCACGGTGAGCTAATTATTTACCTGGGAATTAGCTTTAACAACTCAAAGCACTTAAATCCATTGAATGGAAACTAATTTCCCCCCAGTGAAACAAAGCCAGAGCAGCCTTACAAGATTGAGAGCACATCTCCACCAAATAAAACATGCCAGGTCATCCCCGTTTGGTGTCAGGGCAGAAAGGGAGAGTGACACAGAGCCTTCCTGGCGGGTGCACACTGGTGACAAGCATTTCTTCTTTTGCCCTAGCATGGAAGGTTCCATCGTGTGTCTGCCCGATATCGTGGCCCTGAAGAAGAAATACAAGGCTTACCTCTACATAGATGAAGCTCACAGTATTGGGTCCGTGGGCCCAACCGGCCGGGGTGTGGCGGAGTTCTTTGGAATAGACCCCAGAGATATTGACGTATTTATGGGCACATTCACCAAAAGCTTTGGAGCCGCGGGAGGTTACATAGCTGGAAGGAAGGTAAGAGGCAGATTCCTTGCGTCTATTAAAAACCTGAATGCCCTGGAAATGCAGTCTTGGGGGTCCTCTGGCTGCCCTGAACTGAAGCCCAGTTTAGCACATCTGACTGATTAAGGCGGCCTGGGCAGCAGGGGTTCACAGGCACGGGAGGCCCAGAAGGTCGAGGAGCTCATCCTCTGATAGTGCAGAGGAGCTTGTGGTGAGTAATCCCGTGATCCTGAAACGACAACCCTGGCTGTGCAAAGGAGAGGGCAGGACCGAAGAAGTCTCAGAACGACTGTCAGTCTCGTAGATCAAGGGTGGCGAGGGGGTGTATGGGTTATATTTCAAAAAGAGAGAATGCCCTTAACCAAGCCACAGAAGTGATGCTGCAGAACGGTAAGTAGCTTGGGGAAAACTTAAGGTGGCGGGTAGGAACAGTGGCCAAGGTCAGATGATGAAGACACTGACCCTCTGCTACAAGATGTGGGTTTTCAGAGTTTTAACAAAACAGTGTGCAAGACTGAAGATCTTTTTTTTTAATATTTTATTGAAATATAGTTGCTTTACAATGTTGTGTTTATGCTGCAAGGCAAAGTGAATCAGCCATACATATACACATATCCCCTCTCTTTTGGATTTCCGTCCCATTGAGGTCATCTCAGAGCACCGAGCAGAATTCCCTGTGCCACACAGTATGTTCTCATTAGTTTTCTATTTAATACACATTAATAATATCAAGAATGTATATATGCCAATCCCAATCTCCCAATTCATTCCACCCACCTTTGCCTCCCTTGGCGTCCATATGTTTGGTGTCTCATCTGTGTCTCTATTTCTGCTTTGCAAATAAGTTCATCTGTACCTTTCCCCTAGATTCCACATATAAGAGATATTATGCAATATTTGCTTTTCTCTTTCGGACTTCTTTCACTCTTGTATGACAGTCTCCAGGTCCATAAGAGATTTTGCTCTGCAAAATAATTCTCTCCCACAATCTTGGATAAGCCGTGGGTCAAATCTTGTCGTCCTCTCATCTCTTATTTGTGTGACTGAAGATTCTGAGCTGATGGGATTAGACTAAGTGTTATCCCTGTCATTCTACTGCCAACATCAGCCAGGAGGTCACCAAAATGAAACAAATGTTTGAAAAGGTTTTAAAAGAAGAGGCAAGAAGACGAGGGAAAGAAAATGAAATACTAAAACCCGACTTTCGGGGCTCAAAAAGCCGGTTCTCTGCCCCGTCATACACAGTTTTACAGAAATCCTGATGGGCCTCTCCTCCGGGTGTACGCCTTCCCCAGAGGGACGGTGAGGCCGCTGCTGGCTCCCCCGAGGAGGCCGCGGAGTGTATGCAGGTGGCTCTGTGGCGTCTCTAAAACTCCCGATTCTTCCCTCACTGTCAGCAACAGGAACAGGAGCTCAGGCTCCTGGTGAACCAGCTAGACAACCGGGGAGTACAGCTGAAGACAGCCTCAAGGCGGAAAGCCCATGATTTAAAACTGCAGGTTTTATTGCGGGCAACTCACCCTGCCATGAGACGCTGCACAAACGCTTAAAATGTTCAGAGCTCCTGGTGACCTCCACCCTTCAAAAAGCATCACTTTCATCTGAGCTCAAAGCACTGCATTCAGCCTCCTTCCATAGGCCTGCGGGAATTCATCGAGGGATACTAAACGCATAGGGAATGCCCAGGATCTTACAAAATTCAGCTAAGTCTAGCGCGAGGTTCGACGTTCCCTTCCGCGACTGTCGAAGCCACGGGGTCAGAGGGTCCTAAATGTAGGTGAGCCCTCGCCCAGGCTACTTCGCTTTGTGAGCTTGTAGTTTTGTGGTGGCTTTAGCAGCAGTTCTGAGCTGCAAAATTTTTCACCAAGTGTAGATCTGTTTCCTGAGCCGAAGGAACCTGAATAAACTGAAGTGAGCGGATCCTTGACATGCTGTCAAATTTGGTACCTGTCACCATGTTCCCTCTTAGAGTTCTTGCATGTGATGAGCCGCTGGAAACAGAGGCTCCTGATTGCCAGTGCAGGCCCAGCTCAGCACGGCTCTCTCGCATCCTCTGCATCCTGAAGGCGGGTGGACTACTTTAAAAGTACATTTGCTCTTGCCTACCTACCTTCTGTTGACCTGCGGTAGATACGGAGCCATTGTGAAAATTATTAATATTTAGTATTTGCCTTCATCAGGAAGAAGAAAAAAATATGTGGATCAGTTTTTGCTCTTTAAAAAACGCTCCTTCACATACTTGGAACCAGAGGGATGTCTCCTGCCGCCCCTTCCCCGTCTCCCTCTGTATTTCGCCGCAGTCTCTGAATTTACCACTAGGTGGCAGCGAGACTCAGAGAGTGTTTGGCAGAGACCCCTTAGCCCTGAAATGGGAAGATCAAAGACCTAGAAAACACCGGGCAGTTTCCAGGCGTGGAGGGTGCGCAGGATGTGAGGCCTCTCGAGCGAGTGTCGTGTTCCCTGATGATTTAAAATTCAGCCTGGTAATGAATCCACCTGCAACACAGCAGACCCCAGTTTGATTCCTGGATCGGGAAGATCCCCTGGAGACGGGATAGGCTACCCCACTCCAGTGTTCATGGGCTTCCCTTGTGGTTCAGATGGTAAAGAATCCGGCTGCAATGTGGGAGACCTGGGTTCGATCCCTGGGTTGGAAAGATCGCCTGGAGAAGGGAATGGCCACCCACTCCAGTATTCTGGCCTGGAGACTCCCATGGACAGAGGAGCCTGGCGGGCTTCTGTGCGTGGGGTCCCAAAGAGTCTTACCTGACTCAGCACAGCACAGTACAGGTAAAAACACCCGCCTGGAATCATTTTGGTGAGCCTGTGACAAATGCAGATAAACTGGTTTCCTTCCAGCCTCAGGAGCCCATGAGTTAATCGTACTTAGTATCTGCTCCTCTGTGCCTTTAACTTGTTAAATTTTAAATTATGTGTAGTTTCCACTTAAATTATAGTTTTTAATTCCCCTGGACTTTGAAGAATTTTGTGAAGAATTTTCACTTTGAATTTGTTTTTTAATTGATAGGACATAGGATTGGGCAAATACTAAAGATCTTTGGGAAAAAATCTTTCTAATATCTGTTTAAATAATTCGAATTTGGTTTTCATACTTCCATACTTTTTTCTGAATATTTTAAAATAGATATCTCAATTTGGGGGAGTATTACAAAATATCCAACATTCTAGATATTAAATTCTACAAAAGCAACAAAATTAACCATAAACAAGTTAAAGTCTACACACTAGTACTTTACATTTTTCTGGATTATTGATAATTTCAAGTTCACTATGTTCATGGGCTTCCTAGTAAATCTTGAGAGGTGAAATAATCACTTGGGTCCAAAAATCTAGAAAACTATAAAACTCTCTGGGTCTTAGCTCTCTTTTTAAATGTCAATGTTAGTGGTACAGGGACTATAATCTTAATAACAGTTTCTAGGAGGCTCCAGAAATCTTTATGGAGCAGGTCAAGGTGAGAAGTACATGTATTAGCAACCAGATGTGTCATGGAAGAAAAAATATTTGGAAACACACAAGAGAAAAATTGCTTTGGTGCTAAGATACAACCACAGAGAGTGGAGATTTTGTCTTCATCCCAGCCTTCCAGTAACAAAATGTCCTAGAAATTCATGTACCTCCTGACTGAACTTCAGGGACCCTCATCACCCTTCCTTAGTCTCTAAACCCTCTCTGATTTCCATTAGACCATCAGGATTTACCAGACCCCTGCTAAGTACTCACCACTGCAGATTTTAAGAGAGCATATAATAAAGTGTATAACTCTGTTTGCTCCTCTCAAGGAGGTCCCAGTCTCTTTGGAGAAAGAGTAGTAGGACACGTTTTGAGACTGATACAATTCAAACCGTGATTTAGAACTGTGAACAGGTGGGTGTATCAGAAATTCCCCCCTTCCTCTCCTCCCCCGAGGGGTGCAGCCTCTGTGGATTAGGGGAAGCACCACATGAGTAGCAATGAACAGTGTCTTCTCTGCACTCCCCAGGGCCTCCCCATCACCATACCAAGCCAGCTCCTCTGCTCTGAAGAAGTAATATAAGCTGATGCTAAAGGATGGGAGGAGGGGGGACTCTAGAGCCAGACTCTTTGGGTCCAAATCCTTGTTATCGAGCCACTTTTTGGTGGGATAATGTTCTGATCTGTTCTTTAATGCAGTGACCCCACCTATCAAGTAGAGATCAAAACAGTACCTAACTCATAGCATTACTGAGAAGCTAAAATGAGTTAATGCATGTAATTATATATGTGAAATACACTTAAAATTCTTACAGTGGTGCCTCAAGCAGCCCATGGATATCAGCTCTGGGTCTATCCATGAGCTCTCAGCTCTACCGTCTCTACAGTGAAGCTCTGTTGCCATCAGGTCTAGATTCCCCCTTCTTTGAAATGCCTCTCCTTTCTTTTCGCTCTCGCTGTCACCACCCAGTAAGGATGGGGGAAGTGTCGGGGTGCAAACCTTTGATGCCCAGATCCACCAGTGTCCGGAGGCGTAAGCATACAGCATGACCCTCTGCTGGGCGGGGGGCTGGGATAAAGACACTCCAAGTGTCCGGTTTTTGCCCCTTCCTCCCCCCTCACGCTCTGAGTGTTCAGACTGTCTGAACTGGCCACCCATTAACAATAGCCACCAGCAGCACCAGATATTCACTATGTGGCAGATGCTTTTCCTCATAATGACTCTGAAAGAAGTATGACCATTATCCCATTTCTCAGAGAAGGAAACCAAGGCACAGAGAAGCTTAGTAGTTTGCCCATGGCCTCATATCAGTAAGTGGCAGAGCCAGGATTTGAACCTAAGTGATCCAGGCTCCAGAGCCTGTCTCGTAACTCTAAGGTCAGACCTCCCCTGGAGGGAACAACCCCTCATTACCTTTCTTGGAGGCACTAGCTTTTCCCTCTGCCTTCATTTGGCTCCTCCATCCTGTGCTGATTAACATGCCATCTTTATTCCTCATTTTAGCCCATGTCCATGCCTCTCCCCTTGTCTGCAATGATCCAAATCTACTCATCCTTCAAGGCCAAGTCGCCTCCTTCAAACTCCCCTTCCTGGACCACAGGAGCCCACATCATCCCATTTCCTGCATCCCACACAGCATCCTGCTGGGAGGCACCAGCTTTCAGTAGAGAAAGAAAACCCCTGCTTCTGCTCATAGAGGAGCATGAAGAACAGCCTGGCTGCGGCTCCTCTGGAAAATGACCACCTCTTTCTCCCTGATGCTCCCCCCCACCCCATCCTCCATGCGCCAAAGTGAACTTCTCGGATACCATGTGGTCAGTGCCTCAGTCAGGTGGTGAAAACGCTTATGAGATTCACTAAACAAAAGAACAAACAGAAACTTAATTTTGATTTTACTGCAAGTGGAGAATGGCTGCCAGAGACTAGGCTTTCTGTCCTCCTCGTCTCAGGTTCCTGCAGGCAGAGCATAGTCCAGAGCAGACTTGTCCTTGTACAGACTTGCTGGAAATAAAGGTAGAGGGAGCGCAGAGGTGGCGGGGTGGGGACAGAAGTGGGGGGAGGGGGGAAGGAAGGGAGGCAGGGGGGAAGGAAAGAAGGGAGGATATAGAGAGGGAAAACTAGAGGGGAAAAAAAAAAGACTGGAATGGAGAATCTAAAATTTAAAGCCCTAAAGAGGAAACCAGAGTAGAGCGATGGAGAAGGAAAAGAAGACACAAAAATCAAGGACTGAAGGTGTGAAACGCAGGAGAAAGAAAGTCAGGGGAGCAGGAGTGTGGGAGAGGGGACTGCAGACGAAGGACATTCCAACGGGAGCAGGGCAGGCGGACTGGAGCTCCCTGGTCCCCCAGGGGGCCAGGCAGACACATCACGCCACCAGCCGCCTGGGAGGCAGGCCACTGACTTTACTGCGGCAACATTTAGGAAAGGGCATAGTGGCTTCAGGTACCTTACTTACGTCACTACTAACTTTAGTTGCCAGTTCATAGGAAGATGAACAATGTACACTTAAAATGCTTGGGTAAGGATGCATGACTGTGAGCTACCAGGACACCCACCCCTGAGGGAGGAAGCTGACAGGCGGGCATGGGCATGGTGGCAAGCACAGAGGTGGGAGCAGATGTGCCAGTGGAGGGGGCCAAGAGGAGTAGTCTGCTCAAGCCAGAGCTCCCCCCAGGTCACCTTCCAGGCAGTGACTGAGAAGACACCGAAGTGGGGCTCTAAGCTGTCTCATGATCCTGGAAGAAAAGTGACTGCCGCTTCATGGACCCCACTGCTCACTCAGAGCCATCCTGAGCGCACTGGCTTTGCTGCAGGGCACCCCGAGGGTCCCAGGCTGTGAGCCAGGAGGATGTCTTCCCAGCCAGGCTGAGTGCCCCCGGGCGCCAGCGCTGAGCAGCGCCCCCCCAGACCACACCGCTGTAGAAGGAAGTGATTGGAGCATCTGCTGGCCCTCAGCATGCTTACCACTGACCTCGGGTTCAGCCTGCTCAGGCATGCTGGTGGAGAACCATTTCTACCACCATAGGGACCAGCATCCTGCAGCGAGGCAGCGCTCCAAAGAGTGCGGTGCAAAAATCCCAGTGGTTCTCTCCAGCCCACGGCACACCGGGGTTTATCTTGTCCTTGCCTCCACGTTGGGTCAATCTCTCCTCTCCCTTCTGCTGCTCCCTTACACTGGAACTTTTCTTGTTATCTTTGTCTTTCTTCAAGACGTAATCCCACCCGTGTCTACTCACAAGCAGCACATCCCCTCTTTTTCCTCTGCCTTTTGGTAGCCTCACTGCATATATTAGTCTGCATATCTTGTACTTCCCCTGCCGTTACTTCTTCATGGGCACAAGCTCATGTACTATGCTCAAGGACAAAAATAAAAAGACACATTCTAGATCATTCTTTGTACCCTCCTGAATACTAAACCACTGCTCACATGACCTGGATAGCCAAACAAATGTCTTGGAAGCCGTTTTTCCTTTACACATCTGGTTTTGAGTTTCCCTGGTGGCTCAGATGTGAAGAATTTGCCTGCAATGCAGGAGACCCAGGTTTGATCCCTGGGTCGGGAGGATGCCTTACAAACCTCAACTCCAAATTTGGAGCTCCTATTTTTGTATACCTTCTATGTTGTTGAGGGAGAGGCTGAGAAGAATGGACAGAAAAAATAAATAGCTTAGTGATGTGCCTGGAAAATCAGACTGCATTCAAGAATCAAATGTCTTCTGCTATAATGGGTGGAGATGGGTCCACCAACACAGATTTATTTGCCTTCTTTTTGGATTTCCCTCCTTCTTTAAAGGACCTTGTGGATTATTTACGGACTTACTCCCATAGCGCTGCTTATGCCACGTCCATGAGCCCCCCGGTAGCAGAGCAAATCATCAGAGTAATGAAACTCATCATGGGACTAGATGGGACCACAAAAGGTAAGAGGGTCTGCAGCAAGCCCATCTCCCATTAATTCCTTTCCTAGACCGCTCTCTGCCTCCCTTCTGCCCCATCCACCTCTCCCCTTCTCAAATATACTGCTTGGTCTTAATGTAACCAGTTTGTAAATTAAGCCACGTGCTCGTTAATAGTACATAATGTGTAATAGTATGGAGTACATAAATGTACTGGAACTGCCATTAGTGCACAGAAAGGGTGAGTAGGGCAATGCTTTTTTAAAGCAAAGAACACTTTCTAATTCACCCCTTCATGTAATCAGCAAATGTGGACAATTTTGTTTAATTAGTCATGTTAAAATGAAGCCTCCTTTGGTGTGTGTTTGCCTGTGCTTTCTGGGGATGGTCATTTGTTTCCCTGAGAATGAACTAGTCAATTTAATATTCTTTTTTTAATCCCCCACCCATCTATTCATTCATTAATTCATTTATTCATTCATTTCTTCAATCATTACTCACCAAGGTTTGGGGAGAAGGAATCTGCCCACTCCCCATTCAAGTATATACAGACAAAACACTCACAACAATAATTGATCAGCCATTTCTCTGACGTTGGGTCTCCACGGCCAAGACGTGCTACTTCGTTTGACTCAAATGAGCTTAATCTTTTTTTTTTAATATGCTTTCATCAAGGGCTCTTAGACTTCACCTCCTATCTTTAAGATATAGCTTATAGAGCTTCTACTGTATATCACAATAGGGGACAGTGATGACCAGGGAAGTTCTTGTGCTCAAGCAATCCAGTGAGTGTGTTTATAGAAGCAGCAAATTGTCCTGGCCCCAGAACTGCCCACTGGGCTATACCTATAGCCCTGTGCCCTGCCCCACCTCCCAGCTGATGTGAAACCCTACGATGTTTAGTGCAATGTTCCGAGCGAGCCTCCTGTTTCAGTAGAACTATGGAGAGGTCCATCATTGTTTAACATTATTAAAGCAACAAAATACTTGATTCACATACACTCTGTACCCAGAAACCCACTGTATCAAACAGACTAGAACAGGGCTGATATGGATATCATGGTGTCTTTGAAAAAGTGATAGTCGCTCAGTTGTATCTGACTCTTGGCAACCCCATGGACTGTAGCCCACCAAGCTCCTCTGTCCATGGGATTCTCCAGGCAAGAGTACTGGCGTGGGCAGCCATTCCCTTCTCCAGGGGATCTCCCCGGCCCAGAGATCAAACCAAGCCTCCTGCGATGCAGGCAGATTCATCACCATCTCAGTCACCAGGGAAGCCCTTACCTACCTCCAAGCTGATGGTCCCTGAGGCCCTTCCGCTGAGCGCTAGTGCTCCCCAGGTCGCTGGGTTGAAAAGATGTGATAGATTTTCTTTGTCACTAAAGAAAAAACGGATTTGATGGTGACTTTGTCCCTCCATGTAAAATGTAATGATTGACTGATTTCTACGGTCATTTCCAGCCTTGCCTTTGGGGTTTTTATGATTCTGTCTTACTGAACAGTCCATGTGAAAAGGAGACGTGATTCCAGTCTGTCCATGGTGCAGTGCTCAAGGGCATAAGCTGAAAGCAGCTGCTGGGACTTGGTTCCTGGGACACTGCTTAACTTGCTGTGTGGCCTTAGGCAAGTGTCTTCATTGATCTGTTCAACTCTAAGTTACTTCTCTGTACTTCAGCTCCTCCAGGTGCAAAATAAGGGAAAGGATATTGACGAGCTAAGGTTTTTGTGAGAATTAGGTAAAATAAGACATATAAAATATTTCATTATGACTGAAACAATTCTATCCATAGTAAGCATTATATAATTGCTTGCTAGATTATTTCGTATCATTCCTGAAGTGTTCAAGAAGTATTTGCACCATCTCAGGGATGCCGTAGGAAGGATTCTTAGGATGGAAGTGAAGTAAGACTAGATTTCCTTCAAGGTCCTGGGTTAGTCAGGCTAAGCTAAATTATGCCAGTGTAACAAATAAGCCTGGAAAATCACAGTGACTTAACCGAACCAAAGTTTATCTCTTGCTCATAGATCTAATATCAGATCTAACCCAAACGGGACAACTCCCTGTCCACGTCCCCTCATGGGAAGTGACTCAGGCTGCTGCTGGCTTGAGGCTTGGCTGTCTCAACACATGGCCTCCACAAGTCACCATGGTAGCGAGAAAGAGCATCAGCCTGGAAGTAATGCTTATCATCTTGCTCACCATCCACTGGCCAAAACTAGTCACATGACCCAGCTGAATTTGGGAAGGTGGCAGTAGTAAATTAATGGGTATGAATATGGACATGGACAAGCATTTATCATTCAATCTTTTAAAACTGAAGCTCAAAATAGACCTGTCTCCATTCCCACATGAGCTACCAGGTTATGTGAAAAAATTGGTCTGGAACCACTGGCTTCTTGCAAAGACATGTTAGTGATATTCTTGACTGCATGGATTTCTTAATGAAAAAAAGTTATTTGAGACTTAAGTTAAAGTGCAAGTTAAATGAATTGTACTATGATGACCAGAATTATCCACTGATATTATTTTAAAGACAAATAACTAGAAAAAAGTTTACTCTGAAAATTAGCCTATGATTTCATAAAGATCACTGACTTTTTAAGCCCTGTAGGTTATATGTTTTTTGTTTGTTTTCTTTTTTTAATTAATTTATTTTATTAGGAGGCTAATTACTTTACAATACTGTGATGCCTGTAGGGTATATGTTATCATCATCCATTGTGATTCACACATACCCAACTTGACAATCTTTTCCTTTCTGCTTCTGAACAGCTTTGCCACTTCATCACAAACAGAATTCACTCTGTTTGATCAAAAAGATCTGCAGAAAAGTTACATTCAAAGATATGATTGTAAGCCCTTTGATAGTCATCTGTCATCAGTTTTTCTCTCTCCAAGTTTTCTCTCTCAGCCTCATAATTAAAGAATTGCTTGGTCATTATTTTTAACCTCCCAGTTAAAGTGTCTCTCTTCAGTCTTATTGCCGTTTTAAGAGAGAACAGAAAGAAAAAATAAGAGAAAAAGCTATGTACAGTCGGTGTCCTCAGAATCTAGATAGGGGAAGCAGGGAGAAAGATTGAACAGTTTCTTTTCAAAGAAATGAACAAAAGAAAGTGATAGAGAAGAAAATTGATAGAATCATCAGCCAAGTTGCAGATGGTTCAGCCTGACATGGCTTTTGAAGAATTCAAAGGCACCCAGTGAATGATCACCCTGGCCTCACTGACAACAGTGCCTGCTTTAAATAAGATAAATAAGACTGGTTGGGAACATTGCATTAACTCACCCCTTTCTGCAGAGGTAGACCAACTCCCAGGATAAAGCTGACCAAAGCTCAAAGGGCTGCACTACATCAACCCCAAACTGCCTTACAGGATCTGCGAAAGTGCCCTGCTCTGAGCCTTCATCTTCAGTCTTCTCCCCTCCAGCTCTGATAGGATCCTTTCAAGGCTTTGTTTTCAGGTTGAGTTTGGGGAGCGGTTGGCCAGATCTGTTCCTTGATGAATGTCTTCACTTTAATCTGCAAGGCAAAGCCATACGCTTCAAAGAAAGGCAGGCTGCAGGAATAAGGTCAGTGTTCCTTTGAAGCCAAGGTTCAAAGATGAAATAGCAGTCCTGGTGAAATGACAATGTTTATGCACAAACAGCCACCTTGACTGCAGCCAGGCTCCTCACGGAGCGAATACACACAAGCTGAGGGGCTGCAAGCCGCCGGATCCTTTCCCGAGCACCTTTTCATCCCCTGGCCTATCACCCAGTACAGCACAATGAGCCCAAAGTGGAGATTTGGTTTCTCCACCCTACCGGATGTTGAGGGGTCCACCAGTCAAACACCAAAGCTGGGAGCCCCTGAAGAGCAAGAGCTCCGTCTTGCATTAATCTGATGTTCCTCTGAGTATCCAGCCCACTGCTTGGCTTAATAAATATTCCATGATTCAACTTTTACCTTGCAGGCCCACTCAGTTTCAGGTCAGTGTTTACTCTGAATGAGATGGAGGGAATGTTAGTCTCACAGGACTGGGAGCTGGGGGGGCAGTCCCACGCCAGTTCTGGCAACTGCAGAAGGGCTTACTCAGCGATGGGGATTGCTCAGAGATGGACACCGCTTTTGAAGAGGTCCAGAAAGATGGCAGCTCTGCCGTTTTCTTTATGACCCAGACAGCCGCAGGAGCGTGAGCCCCAAGCCCCACCAACCATTCCCCTAAGGAAGCATTGTCTACAGTTGTCATCTTCTTATTTATTTAAATCTTTGCTGCATATTTTTCAATTCATCAGTCAACATTCTTTTTGAACTGCTGATTGGGGTTCTCTGTCCCCCCAGCTCTGGGTAACCTTTCACTTCTCGGGGAAAACAGAAGTTTGTGTCACGTGGAGGGTTCAGGGTGCGTGCTTTGCAGCCAAACTGTGTGGGGCCCAGTCCCCGACCCACCATGGCTCCATGCATGGCCAGTTGCCTGACCTCTCTTAGCCTCAGTTCATTCATTATAAACTAAGGCTGTAGAAGGATTAAGTGATGTAGTACAGGATAGTGAACCTGGCATGATGCCTGACACGTAGTAAGCACCCGATAAAGGCAAACGATTCCTTTCTCCTCTTCCTTCTCTGGTATTTCCAACAGTGTTTATGCACCTGGAATCTCCCCATCTCTCAGGGGAGATGATCTACTCGAACAGCGAATCCCCAGCACTTCCTTTGACGTAAACCCAGATGCGGGTCCCTTCTTTGGCTCTCCACCACCCCCTCCATCATCTCTCACCCGGATCACTGGAGCGAGTCCCCACTCCCCAAGTGTGCTATCTTATGACAAAGTCCCTCAGACCGCATCCCTCCTCCACTTAGAGTTTCCCACTCTTTGCCATCTGAGTATAAAAGTCCAGACTGTGGCCTTCGAGGCTTCTTCTCCTGGCGTGGTCTTCCACGTTTCCCACCACGCTCTCCCCCGCTTGGTCTGCCCAGAGCAGCTGGTGTCCGTGCTTTTCCTGGAACCCAGGCAAGAGCTCCTACAGAGGGTCTTCACGTTTGC